TAACCACTATCTGAAATGGTCTTTTCAATTTATTTATTAATCTTAAAAATGTCTGTCTTATCCTGCCCATTCTCTTCCCCCAATATATAAGCTCCCTGAGAACAGACACCTTATCCTTCCTGCTCAGTATCAACACATAGTTTAAATTATGGGAAAAGAAAATTACCAAATGTGAGAACACGATATATTCTGACTACAAAAAAATCACTTTGGAAAAATCTATACATGTGGAACTCATTTATATTTTAGCATTGTCAACTGGCTAAGTATATGGAACCAGATGGTCTGGCTGTACTATTTTCTAGCTTTTAAGTGTGGACATACGACTTAATCTCTGTACCTTTTTTTATCTATAAAAGGGATGTGGTGAGGATTAAATAAGTAATGAATGTAAAATCCTGGGAACAATATGTGACCTATGTCAAGTGTTCAATAAACACTGTATTACTTTTCCTATGTCCAGTCAGTAGCCCACACGGGCTCTGCATGAAGGACGGAGCACTCCTCCTTCATGGAAAGCCAGCACCTCATTGTCAAGAGATCAGAGACCAAATGTGAAGCCATGGTCAGACAGCCGGCAGTGACTACTGAGGCAAGGAGTGCCAACGCACAGGCTGGGCACTCAAGGACGGCAGGAAGAGGGCCAGTACATGGTACAGATTGTGAGCCAAAGACGCGAGACTGCTGTACACAGGCAAACTCTCTCACGGCTCCAGAGGCACTGCCAGGTGCGCACCGCCCATCTGGAATACAGGCTGGGGGAGCCACGGGGCCTTTTCTGGTTACATATTCAAAGGAGAGAGCGAGCCTCACACTTCTGTTCTCCTATAATTTGTCTTCTAGCCTATTTTTCTTTTACTAATCATAAAGCTTCAATTAGTTTTATGTCTATTATTTTTCTGAGATATTTATGTCAGAGTAAAGAATCATAATTTCAGAATAAAGGGCAGTTGCCTCAGAGTTCTATGTCCCTGAATTCAACCTAAATGGATATCTCCATAACTACAAGTTATGCCTGCTAGTAACTTAAAAAGAAAAAGGTCATGTTTTTATTTTAAAAAAATTCTAGGACAAGAACTTAAAATAAATGCCAAGCTGGATCAAACTGGATAGAATGCTAAACTGGATCAAACCAATACTATGCCATCAGCATAGTGTTTGGCCTATGATGGTTGCTCCCAAGAAAGTTTTGTTAATGAGTCCGATAATTGATGCCAGTTTAACACTAGAATGTCTTAATATCAGCTCTTCAGTTCAATGTTATATATTCTTCTAACTGTCCCTTTATGTAATGAAGCTGTTCAATTACTTCTAATTTTATCAATTTTCTCAAAAGGAAAGGGATCTATAAAAGAAACTATATTGGTATTACACTCAGTGTATAGCAGAAAATAAATGGCACTTTAAAAAAATCATGTTTTTATTCTGGATATATGGTCTTCTGCTCAACAGCTGTCTCTTTTTGGTACCGGGGATCAAACTTGGAACCTTGTGCTGGTGAGGCAGGTGGCAGAACCACTGAGCTAAATCCCTGGTCCCTCAACAGCTGTCTTGAACAGATAATAACTACCTACTTGACCAAATAACTTAAAGAGGTTAAAAAAAAAAAAAAAAAGCAAAAGTTTTAGCAGATAAATTTCCTTATTCTTTGGGAAGACACTAGAGATCAAATTAATAAGCATTCTATCCTATTGTCTTATCCTCTATATTATTTCCTTTTCATTATATTTGCTGATTATGTTCATCAACTTAATGAACAGAAAAGTTTACAAATTTTTGTTAAAATCTCTGCCAACTGTTTTTAGAATTAACCACTTTCTTTTGCTAGTGGTGATTTATAAAAATGATAAATTTGGGCCGGGGATTTGGCTCAGTGGTTTTGCCGCCTGCTGCGCAAACGCAAGAACCCGAGTTCGATCCCCAGTACTGGAAAAAAAAAAAAAAAGATAAATTTTACAAAGCCTTCTTTGCTTCAAAACAACCTTATGGATTGGATATAATCTAGAGTCAAGTTTCCATTTTGCAAACATGAGAACAAATAAATACAAAGAGATTAGGTGATTTCTCAAAGCTGTACAACTGATTAATGACAGAGTAAGTTCCTGGATTTTTGTGGCCAAGTAAAATTTCAAAAAGCATTCCAGAGATCCCAAAATAGGGCTGTCAATTTGTTATTTTTCAAGTAAAGAAAAAATATATATATATAACTTCTACTATTGCTGACATATTGTACAACTCACCTTTTATTATACCACAATAGGAAAAATCATCATAGAAGAAAATGTAGTTCTTAAATTAATAAAATATGTTCTATGAAAAATTCACTACATTCTACTTTTCTCATTTTGCTGTGGGACTGATGAAAATTCTTCTGGTCCAAAACTAGTTCTCAGACAACACAATACTCGGAAGCCATTTCCCTCTTTCGTGTTGTTTCAAAATTCATATTAGTTCGTCCATGTCTTTTCCTACTTCATTTCACCATCTTTAAGAAGAAACTAATAAATGTAGGTATTTTTGTTGTTGTTCTTCTTCTTCTTCCTGAGGGCTCGGGGTGTAGCTAAGTGGTAAATCCTAGCATGTGTGAGTCCTCAGTTTGATTCCTAGTACCAGCAAAAAAAAAAAGTTTTTCATTTTGAAAGATGCTATTCTTCTGCTACTACAACAAAATGATAAGTACTATAAATTTACATACAACCAAAACACAGAGCTGTTGACTATGCACGACTAGTGAGAAAGCTAGCAGGGATGTAGGAAATACAGAAGCCACACAGCACCTACCACAATGCACTGCCTCCACATTACCTTAGTAAGAAGAATACTTGATCCATTCTTCTCTTTCTTCACTCCACTTTCAAACTTTTCCAAGAGAATGAATTAGCACCACGACTATCTAGCCAGGCGCTGTTCCACAACTGTCCTTATCTCCAAAAGGTCTATACTTATTCCTCCTCCCAGACTGGTTTGTAGTCTGCCCGAAGTTCCCAATCCTTACGTGACAAATAAACATCTAACTTTATAAAACTTTATACTTAATCTGCCATTGTATTCTATACACTACTATATTCACACAACAAAAGCAGTAAATATGAAACCCTATTTAATAATCATGGTCAATGCATGGTCTTCTGTTATATGTGGTCTTCTTTGATGACTTCCTTCAGCTTTGGAAGGAACTACGTGAAAGTGAAGGAGAAAAGGATACCCAACTGTGTGTCTAACCCAACAAATCAAGCCCAGGTGGTCAGGGTCACAGCACAGCACACCCACTCCCACCCCTCAAACTGCTCGCACATAGACATTTTGTCAAAAAAAGGTCCCTATACTGACTGAAATTTTGATACAGACCATGCCACATTCCCCAAGGACTGTCAAACCAGTACATTTTCTGCCATTACTTTAGTATATACAAATTTCACACCAAAATTACTTTCTATGAGATAACTATATATTGTCAAGTGATCACACATTATGTACATTTACATATGTATTTTGTGGCACATAAAACACTTCAAAATATACCACCATTCCTTAAGAGTATTCTGAGATGGCCAATATCATTTCCATTTTATTGAGAAAGAAACTGAGGCTCAGAGAGGTTATGTGATTTGTCCAGAGTCACACAAAGGTGAGTTAGAACACAAGTGTGGTCCTTTGACCTCATATTTAGGCTCTTTCCTTTATTCACATTTTTTCCAAGAAGAGTACTCTCTAAAGGTGAGGCCCTAAACCAAAAGAACACACAAAGGTTGGTTTTTATTCCAATCAGAGCAGAAAGTCAATCTACCAGTAACTTCAGGAAAAAAGACAGCCCCTACTGTTAAAAATCTGTGAAGGGTGTGTAGGTTCCTCACCATTAATGTAATGCCGATTTGTTGGTATTCTTCTTATTCAGTTCCCTAAAATTCATCATATAAACCAGCCAATCTAGGACAGTCATGAAACCTGGGCAAGAAAAACACTGGCCTTTCATAAAAGAAATTATTTGGAATCATTTTCAGTATACCTGGTCTTCCAAAATAAGCATGTTTGTGACACTAAAATTTTAAAAAATTGATGGAAATTCTGGTGATCACATTTATTCGTGGTTTATATGTTGGGCAAGATCCAAAATACACACAATAGATTATTTCTAAATTTATACTTCAGAACAAAACAAAAATGTAGCTAAATAATAAGAAACTGCTAAGTACTAAAGTATCAATGGACAATAAAAAATCATTACATGGGCCGGGGATTTAGCTCAGTGGTTCTGGCGCCTGCCTGGCAAGTGCAAGGTTCCGAGTTCGATCCCCAGTACCAAAACAAAACAAAACAAAACACCTCCTTACATGAAATAATTTAATTAAAAAGCTTGCCTATTTTAAACAGAGTAGTTTTAGGAAAATTAGCTGTGGGTTTTATGATAACTTATCAATTCAAGCCAAAAGTTTGAACAGTAATTATTATTGCTAATAAGATTATCATGAATATTACCTTTGCTGCTTACTATATCTGATTATAGACTGTTTATAATTTTTAAAAAATACAGGATCATTAGAAACCATTTCCAACACCAGGAAAAATAGGCAAAATAACTTGGTATCATTATTTCTCTGTGCCTAGTTCACATCATTTAGATTAAAATGCTAATTTTTACATATGTGAGTGAAGCATAAAGGAGCAAACAACTGGAGACTGCACGGTGTGCTACCAATCATTGCGGGTGGGTAAACTGACAACATGTAGCTGCATATTAAGACAAATGTAGAATTTAGACAAAGTATTCCATCTCTTTTCAGATGTATACTTTTAAACCTCAGGAACTGTTTTCAGTAGATGTCATGCCTTTTAACTTGAAAAAAGATAAGCGCAAATAAGCTCCCAATTGTCTCCCCAATATGTAAACCACATCTCGGGCTGCTGTCTCTGCTACTCCTTTGAAGTTTCCCTGAAATGTCATGTGTTGTGAAGACTGCTGTGCATAAGCAAGACAATTTGCTCACTCTCAGAATTCTTACCGGTTTCCACTGCTATTTGGTATCCAGCCTCTAGTCTCCGAGATGACCTTTCCAGCCTCTCTGTGTTATCGAGCAGATGTGCCCTCTGAAAAAGAAAAAGGGGGAAAAAAATCACACAGCCGTCTACAATGTTCTTTTTTTGCCTTTTTAAAAAATAATGCCTTTGTAAGCCCCAATATTTGAGGGGAGGGGTCCCAATCCGCTGTAGTTAATTTTTTGCAAATCTTTCAGTATAGGAACCATGACAATGGACAGATTTCCAATCAATCATATATGGAGCATTCACTTTTTTATTTTATAAAGAGACTCATGCTGTAAGTGGCCACAATGAATCTTACTCTGAAACACTGAGAAATGTATGAAGACCAGAGCCAAGTAGACCTTTCTGTTTCAGCAGAGATGAGAAGTGCACAGATCTATGATCCCCATTTGTGTTTATTTTTAAGAAAATATCATCATTTTTCAAAAACCCATTTGTTCCTTTGATTCTTGCAGACAGTAATTTTTAATCAGGAACTTTATTTTTAAGAGAATACTCCTCAATTCTGGATGTGCAGCAGATGCCACAGAGAACAACATATGCTACTAAAACAGAATACTAAACAGCGCTTCTAGTTAAAGACAACTAGGGGCACACATCAATAAACAAGAGACACATGCTTCTCCATTTGCACAAATGTACAAAACAGTGGATTTATTTCCACATATATGGCACTAGACTGAAGGTGAACTTTTAAAACAGTGCTTTAGAATATCAACTAAAATTATACTAATCACATACACTTCTTTTGAACTGTAACTGATGAGGAAATTAGAGAATTTCTCCCAAATTCACAGCATCTAAACTTGTTTTTCTATATCAAGATTGCGTTGTTTTTTTAATTTAACTATACATTAGATCTACTCAGGTTGTCAAAATAGACTTATAAGTTAACCATGGCTATGAATGAATAAGAATACATATGTGGTATAGATACATGAATGTGACTACATGAATATGTGCACCTGTATATTTGTGTTTGTTCATGTATACATGTATTTGTATAAATTAATACCTTTCCCCCTCAAATCAGTTTTGGTATCTGGTCAAAAACAAAGAAAAAAAAATGCAACTACAACTCCTACAACTTTGTGTTGTTGACAGATGTCACTTAAAATTGAAGAAATGCTTTCTAATAATAATAAAAAAGGAGGTGCCACACACATTATCTGAGTGGCTGTCGAGCGAAATGATCTACCTTGCTCTAATGAGCCCCCATGGATCTTGGAGATGCAAGCTGTATTGACATGCACACTTAAGCTGATACACCTAGACCAGTGCCTCCAAGCTCTAGCAGCCAGGGATGCTGACAGAGTATCTCGCTTCCATCTTCAAAGAAAGGAAGTGATTAGTATGTTATCATTACCATTCAAAACGTGATTTCCTTATTCCCTCCCGGCATAGGTGACACATCTGAGATGCGGCCAGACGTTAGAGGCAGCTAAAGCCACATCAAAGCTTTCCTTGAAAATTTTTTTGGGGGAAGGGTGGGGGGAGAGAGAATCATTAAAACAATGCATTTAGAACAGAGAGATAGGACCTGATGTGAAGGTCAGGAAGCTGCAGTAACAGTCTATAATAATTAATGGAGTTGTCTAACACACAGTGGGGAAATTAGGAGAAATATTACCCCCCCTTCTGGAAAAAAATCTAAATATATAAAATGGAGGAAGGAAGGAAAGCTTCTTATATCATGAAAAAGCAAAATCACTGACTGGTGTAACTGAGAAAAAGAAGAAGGAAGCCCTATGTTTGGCACTGATGACGATTTTTAAAATAAAGTTAAAACTACTAAACCTTGTTAAAAATAGCTTTCTTACTCCTAATTCTCCCTACATGCAGCTTACAGGAGTAAGGGTTGCTCTTTCCTTCTCTGAATATTTTCTACCTTAACAAAGGACTTAGTTTAAAACTGGCAAATCTCTAAAGATATATCAATCAGATCTATGAAAGCAGGAGTAAATTTAAATTTTAATCCAGATGAAGAAAAGAGGATTTTTGGCTTATTTTCATACTGGATGAAATCTTAAATTAAAAGAAAACATTTAGCTATTACAGATAAAAATGTAGATCAATACTAGAAAGGGACATTCTACTTATATGCTAATATAGGAAATAAGCCATTTAAATGTAGGATGATTTGGGGGATCCCATGGTGATACTGGGAGCAAATTTTCTAAAAGGAGTTTTTAAAAATGTGCATTCTTAAATAATGGAAGAAACTCTTCTTCAAGAAGGTTCAATTTTATCAGAGTAAATCTGCACATGAGAGGACTATCAGTTTACCAGCAGCTTTCCAGCAGGATTTCATTGTATTTTGGAACCTCTCCACTTAAGTCACACTAAAATCAAGTTCTTGTAACAGCTGTGCTATTTACATTGTTCCCTTAGTTGTACATTGCCCTGGTCGCTACAAATGAAAGGAGATACACTACAGTAGCAGCTGATGCTTTCAACTCGCCCCCACACTCCATCCCAAACTCATTCTCTCACCCTCTTCTCAGCCCTTTTCAAAGCAGGTGAGCGAAGCTGTGCTGGAGCTTCAGACGGAGCTCAACCTGTGTGCGGAGCTGAGCAAAGTGGAGAGCTGAAAATTCAGGATTCAAACAGCTCAGCACAGCCAGCACCAAGATCAGCTCTCTCTGCACTACAGCTCTGCCTCCAAGCATGCCCCGTTTCCAGAAATGAGCCCCAAAAGAGCATCACAAGGAGGCACAGGAAACTGTTTCCGGACACAACAAAACCTCATGTTTTGGCACAGATGGGTGCCTGTCTTCTCAGCACAGGGGTGGAAGGAAGAAATCTTGAGCACCATTCACTGTATAATTTCTATTAGAATCCCGACTGAGAGACAATCACTTCTTAGCAAACTATATGCCAATTCAGTGTCATCACTGTAATCCAGTCTATAAATGTCAATGCTACATCCATATCAACAAATATAAAAAATAGTACTTCAGAGGGTATTATTGTATTAGTTGAATGATCTGTTTCTTCCAATTATAAATCTATTACAGGATACCATTTCCAAAACATGAACTCCAGACCCATAACTGGTAACTTTTGCTATAGGTACGATAAAAGAATTAAGCCATCGACAGTAATATATTTTAAAAGAAATGCAGACATGATGTTTTCAGCTTTTAGAATTAAGATTCTAATTACATACCATTCAGCTTAACAAAAATAAATCTGTCAAAAATATGGTGAGGTTTTACTAATCATTGCTTAAATTCAGGAACAAGAGCTTCGTATTAAGGTTTTCAATACTATTGTTAATTTCTATTAACATTTAAAAATTCACATTCTTCACCTAAACATGAGCATATGTAAATATACACAAACAGATATTCTACCTTGGAGGAAAATAACATCGACGTATCACTCATGAAAAGAATAATCTTATACAACAAAACTGCAATTAATTACATTTGTTTAATATATACATCTGACATAAGAAGTAAAACAAACAAACAAACAAAAACAGCAAAAAGATTGGAGAGAAGGTATTTGTGTATTTGCCCCTACTGTTTATATGCCATTATTACTTTTAAAAGAGAATATCATTAATACATTTTCAAGTAGAAGAATTGTTGAAAATCACAATCTCTAAAAGCTTCTAAGTTAATATTTGCATCCCTCAGAGAATGATGACATGCCAATCTAAAAAACTTCTAGGAAAATCACAATCAATATAGTCAACCTAAACTTGAAAATAACTCAAAGTACTCTGGTTATTATAAGCAATTAGGCAATTCTAATATGACAACATCTTTTATTATTTTATGTCCTAATGGAAAAATAACAACTTTACCACACGACATAAAAAATATAACTACTCTGTTTCTGAACGAAGTACTGAAGCACATTTGATATGTTTGGCCTAACTGGGAAAAAAAGCGCAATTATTCAGCATCCCTCATCAATATGAGGGTAAAATTACTAACATTGCTGCAAAAATTTGCTAGACCTCAAAAAAAGCATGGGCCTGCATTATGAAACCAACCAGTAAACTTAGTAAAATGAGACTTACTTGGGTGCTATTTCCTACAAAAAAGGAAGGTGTTTAACAATGACAAGAGCTTTGGCTATTCATACATATCTACATATTCAGACTAGTAAGACATGTGTGCTTCCTCCAAAGGATAATATATTCATGGTGTCTTACGTTGAACCTAAAAATTTTGAGTGAGAGAAAGGAGTTTATGTAAGAACAAATGTTGGTAAAGGAAATCAGAATAGCAGAAAAAATTCTTTAAGAAACCAACAAAAATAAAGCAAAGTTGAAGTTACAGTCTATAATAAAGCCACAGTAAGTATAGTTTTAAGATATCCTTTATGATTCCTTCTTTGTTTTGTCTTTAAAATATTCACTTTTCCCCAATACCAACAAAGAGCAATGATCCTTGTAGTAAGTGTGATTAAGAAATAGTTGTTTTTTTAGAAGGTGGTCAGTAGATTTTTGAGGAAGAAAGACAATACTTTTTTCTTTGGTAGACTTTTTTGGAGAAATGAATGCAAAGATCCACTTCAGATTTAGAAACTCAATTTGATAAGGAAAAGAAGAATTAAGGGATAAAAAGGAAGCTAGGAAGTACTCACCTCTTCACGTAATTTTATCAACTGCAACATGAATGCACAAAACAAAAGATAAAAAGGAAAGAAATGGCAGGAAAGAAAGATCAGTTGTGTGACAGGATACAGAATTAACACTGACAATTTATCTGTTTACATGTTTAGCATTTAAAACTCACAGACAAACACATTAAAAAAACCTAAACTTAGACTACATGCAGAGTTTTTTGAACGAATAAAGATCACTTTCTCACACTGTCACATTAAACAAAGAGAATAGTGTGAAATTCTCTTTTAAAATACATCTAAGACACCATCATGAAATAAAGGAGAATGACTTCATAGAAGTCTATATTATAAAGAAAGAAAACAAGTTTACTGTTCCTCTCTTCTAAGAATGTACCACCGAAAAGGTTTTGTATATACAAGTTTTCAGGATGTTTCTCTATTTGGAACCCTGACAACTGATTTCAGATTTTACCAACAAATGAAAATGATTAGCAGTTTATGCATTGGTTGCAATAATTATTTAAAACAACAAGGTATCATGTGGGTATATGATTGCTTTGAGAGGTAACACTATTTTAATTGAGAATAAAGTGTGCCATTATAGATAATAAATAGCTATTTAGGCCATAGTATCAGGAATCATTTCACTATTACGGTACACACTTGAGTAAATTTCTAGATTTCTGTTTTGCTTGTTTTTTGTTTTGTGACTACCGCATCAGATGACACACTTTCCTTTTAATTTTATGTTTCATCACTTGTCAACTGCCTTCATCTTTTAAACCGGGCCATGTCAAAGCAGTGAACTCTCAATTCATTTGTACTGCAGTCTATTTTCACTGAAGTGGTACCAACAACCACCCTTTACTTTATTTGTACATATTTGTATCTCCTATGATAACATTTTAATTCTCTTATATAAAACATTTTTCTATTTGCCTTAAATATAACACACAAAACAAGTTGTTTAACTCTTTAGAAATGAGAAAAATGATACAATCATATATTTGCTTCATCTTTTGTGACACTATAGTAAAGCATAAACACAAATTTTATAGTTGAGATGACTACCAGAGTTTCTGCAATGAACAGAAATTGAAACCTGTGTTTAACAGACTCTAAGCTGCATTCTAGGTCTGAAATTCACATCCTCAGCAATTCAGGTCTACAACTGATAAGTTTTAAACATCCAAATATCTGTAACATCTGTTTGAATACTTGACATACACAGGCCAATAAATTAAACTACTGCTTTGGGAGAAACATGCTATGAATTGCTCACCATACATCTCTCTACAAGTATCATGTTTACTGCTATACCGTGGAATTCTCAATATGTAGTGCTGGTTTTGTCTCAAATTCAACGCAGGCAGTATGCATTCCAGCTTATTCTGTAATTTCAATCGTTACATGGAAAGTATTTCAAGCCCAAAAGAACCGGGTTTCAAAATTGTTATGAAGCCTTTTTAAAAAGAATACAGTTTATTATGTAACGTCTTACCATGTGTTTAACAGCAATGAAACTTTTAATATTAGAGTTTCAAAATAGACAAGAAATTGTCATTATTTTTAAACACATTCATTCTCTCCACAACCACCCAGCGTGGATGAGTAAAACACCTCCTGATTTCCCATGGAAAGTCTCAAGCTATCCTCTAGAAGGAGTAAAATTTTAAACTAAAATACCCAGCCTATCACATATCGGAATCTGTCTCTTTGCCACTCGAACATCATGGGAGAAAAAGGCAAACATTAATTCTCAGAAAGAGACGATGTGGGAATTGATCGTACTCTTTTCTTCCGGGGGCACCATTCTTCAGTCGACTGTGATGATACTTAAAGGGGCAAAGTTTAAAACTACTCCTCAGCCATAGAGACCATTTGGGGCATGCCACCCTGCCATAATCAATGAGTGTTTAAAAATGCTACCCATTTGTTTTTTCAATAGGTTCCAAACAAAAAACGTTCTATCTTGTTTGTGCTGCATGGCTGCATTGCAGCTCCACACCGGATTTGTAGCTAAGCTAGGTAACGGGAGGGTTTTTAATCTTCATCTTTTTTTTTCTTTTTCAGTCAGCCCGAGAATTGTATTTTTAAGTAAACAAAAGATATTCTATTTTTGAAAATTAGCAATGCTTAGACTAGACTGTAAGTAGTGATTTCTATTTTATCGAGTTATTAGCTCCATCGCAGGCGACATGCAAGTGTGCAATGCCACAATGTTGAGATAATCAACATCTTTTTTTGAAACAAAGATTCCCCCCCCCATGTAGAATTTGATACAAGAGGTAATCTGTTCCTTTGTGGGCTGAAAAAATCTGGTTTACGCTGGTTTGAACCAGTGGAATCTCTTGTGGTTAAGCCTTCTGCTGTGACTGAAATCAAAACCGCACTGCAGAGCGCGTGAGAGCCTGCGCGCGCCTGTGTGTGAGGTGCGTCATGTGACCCCCACAACTACCGAATTTTTTTTTTTTTGAGCTGATAACGGGACTGCTGTCTCTGTCCGCATACAGATAACGAATAAATGCTGAACTCTATTAAACGCCCTTTACACATTACCGTGGGTCGAACACACAATTTTCTGAACTTAGGATGACAGTCTATTTATTTAGCTATAAACCCTCAGCACGTAACGAACAGATTTGTGCCTGGTAATGATCTGCTCTGCCAGGGCTATATGAAATGATACCGACCTTCTTTAGATCTTGGGGAATTAAATTGACCGACTGCACCCCCTGGTCTGTAGCTGAAGTTTGACACACTTTATGCACAGCAAGTCCAAATCAGAAGTTAAGAGAATCTCGTATTTAAAAATTAAGGAATCATTATCTGCTAAATATTGCTTTACCACAAAAATTTCCACACGTTTGGAGCTACCTACTCTTTGTATATTTTTTGAATCTCCAGTGTAGGATTTACTCAGTCATGTGTCGGTATAGTTTTGCATATGGTAACTGTGAAACTACTGGGGTTCAAACCTGGAGCTTGGGACATTTTATTTGCCTTATTATCCTACTCCACTATGAAAAGCTTTATGATTTTATTCTACAAGTTGGGTTTTTTCTTGTTTTGAGAACGTTTTTAATAGGAGGAAAACATGTTAAGAATATTAAGGTTTCCATTCCCCAAACAGCTTCTTTACATTGAAGAACTCAACTCTCAAAGATATGAAATGTGATACTGAATGGTAAATGTATTTTAAAAGAACAGACTGATTATGCTTAAGACATGAGTCCTTAGAAAGCTGGTAACAAAACAGCACTCAAAGGTGCCAAGTAGATAATTTTGTCCCTTTCCTGTAAGTCAAGAATGGGCTATATTTGACTGAATGAAATGGATATGAAAATTGCTTTATACAAAGCAATTAATTTGTAATTAAATGAAATGTGTACTGTATGAGGGAATTAAAGACGCATTTGAAAAATTCTAATTTTCTGAAACATTGGCATTTCTAATCATCACAGGCATATTTATATACCTACAAGTGCATTAGATGAATGTTTATATACATAAGAGTAAATTAATTTAAAGTTAATTGGAAGATTATAATCATATGTATTAACAGGTTTTAGATGCCTAAAAAACTTGCATCATAAATTGCCAAGCTGAGAAACAGTAGTTATTATATTCATGTTTGTCTAAATCTTCACAAAGAAATCACTATAGGCTGGATATGCATAATGCATTGAAAATAACAAGTCAGTACTTTATTTTACCTGTTTGTAATCATTGCTGTTGATTCTTTTATTTTCCTTTTCTGATCCATATATAATTTAATTGAAAAATCCTAATTTCAATTAAATGAATATTGCTAATTTTATCTCATTTTGTTGTTTTCTTGTATGTTGTTTATCATAAATATTATATAACAAGTAGTTTGAAAATCAAATTATCAATAATTAACTTGAAAGTAAATTTATTTCTAGGCAGAACATTTTTATATAAATTATAGATAATATTATCTAGAAAAAACTATCTTCTTAGCTTCTAAGCTACAAAAATTAATATGAAGAACCAAATTAAATTTTTTCTTACTTAAAAGAAAGGTCTTTTGCTTAGAATACTTAGTCTGAATGAATACTGATCCAGAATAAAAAGTAATTTTTAAGTAACCACACATGGTTAAGGAGATATTTCTGCTTGAGAGATTTTTAATTCCTATATTATGACAACTATATGACAAAAAGCCTCAAAACAAAACTTAATGACTTCATCATCATAGGGAAATTTTGCTATACTTGGTAACAAAATATCCAAAAAGTTAAGCATATTTTTTTGAACTTTCCAATATCATTCAAATTTTTTACTGAAAAGTTCATGTGAGTAATAATCTAACAGTTACATATTCTCCTGACTATAATTTATCATACTCTATTTTTTGAAGTGACAGCTCTTTACAACTAAACTTCAGGTTATCCAAGCACTTTCAGAATTTGTAAGTTTGATTTATACAAGTCCAGGGGAATTCTCTGCATAATCACTTTGAAGTGACAGAAATACAATCGGAAAAACTCAGAAAATAGGAACTCAAATCTATTTTTGTGGCATAGTTTTCTTTAGGCATAAAAATCATCTTTATATGTATGTAAGGCAAATATTTTAGGCACATAAAGTGTCCATTAAGAGAAGTGAACATGCTTTTAAAAAAAAGGATTCCTGTCATAGAACTACAACATCCATTACAATAAACGAGTCTGAGTCAGACAGGAACACCCCCTTCTTTTCTATTTCCTCTACATTAGGCAGGACTTTCAAATGAGGGAAAGATCTATAGCTTTTTAAAGAACTGACATGGGAACTACGCGTTTCACTTTTTTGCAAAAACGATTATGCTTTTTTATAGGAGATAGGAAAGAAAATTATGATTCATTCATTCATGAGGTATGAGCAATCCATATCTCACTTTTAAAAAAGGAGAAAATATTTTCTCTCTCATCTTCACATTATTTAATCTATTATGAGTGAAACCCCTTCATCGCATCATGCTTTTATGTTTGATGCGCTATTTTTTTTCTTTAGCTATTCTCACATTTCAGTCAGAAAAGCTGAAATCCCAAGTCAAATCTGAACGTGTTTACATTTCTGAACTCAGGCTGATTAACACCCAAATACTGGAGGAAGTGAGAACTTCATCAAAACTAACAACTGCCCTCAGCGATTCTTCTCCTCTTTTGGGGGGCAAGTGGAGCCCTTAATCACACAAGCAATATCCCTGTTTGTAAAATGAACATTAGAGAAGATAATAATACAGTATCAGCACATATCATCTATTGGAAATGGTAAACACAATTACGTAGATTTTACACTATGTATCAAATGCTGTGTTTCACTATGGTTTTAAATGTTGGTTTACCCAGTGAATGGTTTATGTTCAATGCTATTTCGGCAGAGTAGAAACCTTTACAATACTTGCCAAAGTAACGTTAATAAACACATTCAGGTCTTCCTTGTGAAGTTTCCTGTAACCAGTCGGTCTCTAGGGGTGTTTGAGACATTTAAAAAACCATCTCTACACTGAAGTGCTTGAAATGATTCTTTACTAAAGTCACACATAATATCTATATGAACTTATGAAATCCATAGTATTAATTCAAAACAGAAATAGGACATTAATTAGACTCATGGCACTACTGTGTGACCCAATAAGAACTGACAGCCGAGTTGTAAGGCCCTTTTAAGAAAAAATTGTATCTTATTTTTTGCCTATGCATATCTTAAACTGCAAAAAAGACATTCTATTATTATTATTATTACTATTATTTGACAGAAACAGGTCTCTGTCTGGGTATCCAAGCTCTACACTGGTGCCTATAATTTGCATTTTGGTGAATGTATTTTTAAGAAGCTAGCTACACAATAGGAGACTGAGCTGTGCTGTTGAATTTTGAAAGCTTACTTTCATTTGTTTTGCTGCAAGTGTTGATTTAATTATACTGCATTATTATCAAAGCTGTATTATGTACTTTTTTATTCCTTTTACATGTGTTTGAGGTGAAGACCCTGGCTTTGTCTGCAAACAGTGTGTTTCAAGTTATTCCTTAAGTACTAAATAATAAAGAAAAGAGAAGAAAAGATTTTTTTAAAAGATAGCAGACAGTGATCACAAGGTAAAGGGTTAAATGTAAGATCTCCAAGAAACATTTTGAAGTTGATTAAGACTCCAGCTTTGCATTAAACAGTATCGCTTCCACATGAGTTGCTGCTAATACTGTTAAGGAGCAGCTTGAGAGCCCAGTGTGCCTGTGACCTCCTTCACCCTCCAGCCACCCACCGGGCCTTCCTGATTAGCATTCTACCTGGTTCTCTGAGGAATTCCCATCATCCCCTAGGAGCTCATTCCGTACTTCGTCACTGTAGGCGATCCGTGACCTTTTCTATAAAACAAAACAAAAAGGGAAAGCGAGATGAACGTTAGAAAGTAAAGGCTTCCAAGTATTACTGGTATCAGGCTTATCATCTCAAACCTCGAGAGCCCCCTAATGGAAACCTATTGGCAAAAATCTGCAAACCAAAGTTGTGTAAAGTTCCCTGAACTTGAGAAGTTTAGCGTAAATTAGAAGTTTTCAAAAATGCCAATAATGAAAAATAACTGCATTGTGTAAATATTTTAATATTTTTAAAGGGATCTGAACTTGTATATTACTCCACACATCATCATTCAACATTAAACTGAAAGAAATACAGCTAAATAGCTATATATCTGTAGAACAGAGATTTAAAAATACAGAAGTATAGAGGGCCTTTAACATTGTAGCAGGAAATGAACTGTACAATTTAGAGTTTTTAAAATCTCTAATTCTAGGATAATAATTATATCTCCAACTCTACTCTAGAATCCCTGGACTAACATATACCTATATTTCTTTCATTACTGTGATGTTACTAACCAGAAAGAGAGGGGATTTAAAAGCCCATCTCCCATCCAAATGATAATTTAAATACCTCTAACTTCTCTCTAAATAATAGCCCATGGAAAAGCAATAGGAGTGTGTGTGTGTGTGTATGTGTGTGTGTGTGTGTGTGGTAAAGCAAATTAAGTTTTCCAATCCCAGTAAATAGAGGCAAGCAGGCTATGAGTCAACCTTTCACAATTCCAGTAAATAAAGACAAGTGGACTATGAGTCAATATTTCATGCACGGTAGTTTTGTTTTACAAGAAATCTACCCTTGCCTATAAAGTCAAGGGACGTGTCTGCAGTGCAAGCATTGTGCAAATTATCTAAATGTATACACACTTGGAAAAATTAAAAGCCTTTAAAAGTTAGTTGTGAAACCCGAGTGTGGTTCTCAGTTCCTGCTTCATCTTTAATATTTCAGACCCAAATTCAGATTTACATGTTACTGCTTTGTTGCCTTTTCCGCATCTAAAATAATTAAGCAAAAATGATCAATTAAAAATGATGGGGAAGGGGACAAGCAGGAGGGGAGTAGAAAGGGAGAGGGAGTAATAGGTAACAGGATTCAGATATGTTAAGTGCATGTACCAACTTCCCCAAACACCACACCCATCATCTTTGCTTTTTAAGGCAGGTGGGAAAGAGTAATCTCTTTTCTCAATTAGGATCTACATTTGGGGTTTAAAAGTTCTTACTTGTTCAACTGTGATCTGAAAAAGGACCACAGTTTAAAAGGACTATCCATAATCCATGAGCAGAAGTTAACAATACCTTAAACATAAAATCATATTACTGGAATTTAGAAGGACCTTGGACAAGAACAACCAGTAAGCTTTAAATCAATTAAAAGAGACCATCTTTCTCAATGGGGGTTCCTTACCAAACTAAAAATCAGAAAATTATATCAATTCTCCCAAGGATGGCACAAAAGAGAATTTAGTTCATTATATACAACGAAGGCTTAGGCTTATGGCTCTAGCAGAACCCAGTTTAAAAAGACTTAAGACAGTATGAATACAAATATATACATCTAGATAACCTCCTTTTTCATAAATGGCAAAAATCAGTTTCATGGAATTCCAAAGATAGTTTTGGTTAAACTGCGATTAGAATTGTAGGGTCCTGACTCACAGTTGAGTGGTCATTTTACCTTATAAAAATTCCTCCCTGTTCTATTATTTGCTAGATTGCAGAGGAAAAAGGCACAAGAATTACAAAATGTTTCAGTATAAAGGAAATAGTGGAATCCCCTTTTGGTTAAGTCTGCATCCTATGTCCTACTTTCCTACTACAAATATATATTTTATATCTTAGCAACTGCAATAAGTCTGTAAGTAGATAAATACTACACCAGTGTTGCAGGGAGAAGAACAAATTGGAGAAGTTAGGTAATCAGCCTGATGTTGGTAAGGACATCTATATCAGATCTCTTGAAAATTCAGGATTGACCCAACATATTCATTTGTGAATATACCAGATGTTTTACCACCACAAACAATATATATTAAATCTATTTCTCTCACTGTATTTACTGAAGCTACTGATAATTAACTACACTTTTACCGACTAATACAGAATTGTATCAAAAACGAAAAATTATATAGTTTGTTTCATGTGCTTAATACAATATTTAGATCAAGTCAAAGATTTCTTTTGCCCATTTGGAGATCCCCATTATAGCAGTTTCAAACTAGCTAAGCAAAAAGTATCTTACAGCATTAAAGGAAGTGAGAACCTTTAAACAGGCTGTGGTATCAGAGCTGCCTTCTTAATTATTCATTTCATCACTATAGGGGACTAAAACATTCCACAGTGCAAGAATATCATATAGAGATTGTTTTTGTTTTTCCCTTTTTTCACCAAAATACCAACAAATTTGCAGAGATTGTTCAATTGTAATATATTCTTATTTTGATGTAGTATACTTCAAAATAACAAGAACATTCTAAACATGTATCCCTGAATATCTGTCCTTCTTTTGGTTAGAATGTTCTGGTTTTGAAAACTAGCAATTAAGTGTATATACATGCTCAGCAGTGGAGAACTAAGGATTCATTTAGAGTGAAGGGTGATCCCTATAAATGTCATTCTTTACCACTGGGATGGGAACAAATGGTCATTTGGGTAGCTTTTCTGGATGTAATTAAGCAAATGGTATGCTGAATTGAACAAAGTGTTCTCTGATAGGACTGACTTTTCTGAAAGAATAAAAAGACAACTCATTTCAAATATCAGTACTAGTTCCCCAAGAAAATGAACTCAAAATGCCCAAAACAACTCTTTACACTTAGGCTTCCTTTTACAAAAACGAATCAAGACTTTCTTTAATGAAAAATTGTATTTGAATACCCAGTATCAGTGTTTTCTCAGAATTTCTTAAGGTTTGAAATTTCAAGCAAGCTGATTATATTTAATTAACACTAATTTAACTTGCAATATCATCACTAAACTAACTACAAACCAAAAATGGGCAAAACCCTTTCAGATGACAAACTGCTTATTTGACGGACAATTTTCCTCCAAAACATCAATAAATTATGTTGCCTTTTACGGAATTTTCAAAAGCCTGATGTTATATCACTAAGTACTTACATAATATTTTAATTTAGAGGATTCAAAGTTAATAAAACCGAAATCTCTACTGTATCTTGATAAACCTAACTAAAATATTTTTACTTTATAATCAATCAACAGTATAAAATCTGTACTTTAGCCAAATGCAAGCATGAGAATTTGAGCTGGAAATGTCACACATTCAGCTACAGTTTGAAGGAACTCAATTCATAATGCATTTTATAAATAGTTAATGACTTCTATACATAAGCTAACCAGGCAAATCAAGAAATTGTCAACATTTTTAGTCTTAGTTGTCAGTTACCACTGTCTACTGGTCCTTTATATGTGGCTCCTGGAGAAGACAGAAGCTCTCTGCAGTTTGTAATTTACTGCAATTTCTGGTCTATACCATAAGGTAGAAAAGCGTCAAATGACAGTATTTGCCACACACACATATGCACAAAGGTTGTTAAATACAAGAGAATGCCTCAGTTTTAGTTGTGTACTTATGTAAAGCGTATTCCTTCTAACTTCTATATACTTCAGTGGACCAGACAGAGATGGACAAAATATCTACAGAACATATCTGAACAAAAACTATGACATTAACAACTGATTGTTACCCCCAAGGAGTTTGATATGCAAAGTTTCAATGGCTATTTTAAAACCAGTGGCAAAAATGAGTCTTTGGTTATAAAAGTGAGAATTTCAGATTTGAAGAGATTTTCAGTTTTTTATTTGGTGCAGGAATAGGACTTTTGCATACCGATTGGCTGATTTTCTTAAAGTCAAGTTCAAACAGATGCACTTTGGCTGCAGAAATTTGGCTTGAAGTAATCTACTTGACCCAAGCCTTAACATTTTCCAACTGAGCTAAATGTGTTTGTGGACAAGCACCACTACAAACAAAATGAATTAATGTATTTTAAACTAATTAAAAACTGTGATCTGTGGTACTGTCCTTTGTATGATTCTATATATGGAACAGAGTATACATTGCCAGAGTGAGGAAGATTCTGAAGCCCACCACATGCAAAAACATAACAATGAAGTTGGTTTATTACTAAAGCATATATGAGAATTTAATTTCCATGGTGTGCACATGGCAAAGCAATTGCTTAAATTGCCTCACCTGGGAATTTAATACAATGTTATCATCAGACCAGCCACATTGTAAATAGATTTATAATGCTTTCCATGTGCTGTACTCAGTTGCATATGAATTAAGTAATGATCTGGTATTACAATAAAATCAGCTAGTTCCCACACCTGGCAGACAGGATATTTCACTAAATTAATACCCATACAGCCACATCACAAGGCCTGGGAGAGGAAACCAACTCGAAAGCATTCGACTTGAATTGACACGGGAGGCAAATACTCTCTGGCTATGTACAATGTCACTACATTGCTCGAGACAATCTGTTTCTAACATCTGTATCACAGAATTAGGACTTTCTCATTCGCATTCAATTTTGGCCTAATTTCCTTCATTCAGTACTTTAATTACTAATCAGCAACCCACAACATTCACAAACACTAAAGAAGCCCTTTATTCTAATCTATGTGCTGCAGACAGCCAAATAATTGATATAAAGTTCAGTATGGTTTTGGTAAGTAATGAAAGAACAGCTTGTCCTACTTTCTAATCAAATTGGTCTATAGAAGAAATGGTTAATAGATTTCTCCATAGTTCTAAAACAAATTACACAGTCTGGCCAGACTTTTCCATTGCTTCTGCCATGTTTTTCAGTCTCCATATATTTAATAATGCCCAAGGTTACCAGGTGATGCATGTATTAAAAACTGCTATGCTTTCATAGCCAAAGAATTTAACTGCTCCAAAGAATTTAACTGCTTCTGTTATAATTAACACTTTGAGATATCTATAGAATACTGTGAAATTATATTTATTAGCTAGC